CAAAGGCCTGAGGTCAGGGCCTACCTGGTCCAATGGCCTCGATGCAGGATGACCTGGGGACCCAGCATGCCTGGCTCTGCCGGGTGCCCTGCACCGCGCAGCTCCGGCCCCCACCTGCACTGTGACTGACGGTCACGTGGCGTGCATTCCTACTGAGGTGCAGTCGATACCCCGGAGACAAATGCCCATACCAGGACCTTGGTATCAACCGAGCCGAAGTCCATTTGTTACGGAGGAAGAAAGAGGCGTGACGTCTTATGCATTAGAATAGATGATTTCATCAATAGGTTAATAGAAAACTGGCTGCAGGTTCACTTCCTGCTTCCACGCTGACTCCATAACGGAGGCCGGCTGTGAAAAATGCAGAGGAGCATCCTTCCTGCTGGCCTACTTCTGCCTATTTATATGTAAATGATGTGGAAAGGGGGCCCACCGGATGCTGCTGGGAGCAAGGGCGGCCCTGGCTGCTGCTTTCTGGAAGGTTTGACATATGTACAGTCCAGACCCCAGAACTCCAGAGGAGGGAGCATTAGGTACACACTGAATCCCACCCTGGCTCTCTGGGGCGCTGCACACACTAAGGGAGGAGGCTCAAGTTCGCCCCAGGACCCCTTGGAAGAAAAGGCTGGTGATCCGTTTCTCAGTCCCTGGAAAGTGACTGGAGCCCCTTCTACTCTGACACGCTACAGGGTCACCGTGAGGGGCTGCCAACTTCATGGCAACGGATGACAGGTGGTCCCAGGGCAGTGTCCCTCACACTCCGGGACCTGGCCCGTCCTCACCGGTCACCCCGCATGTAAGCACTTGGAAACGGCCCTCATCGGCTTTATCCTGTCTCCTGTGTGCCGCGTGGGTGCTGACAGCTGCCTGGAGACTTCTTTCCCCAGAGTAGGCAATTCTGGGAGTGGTACTTAGTGGGGACCTTGTCGGCGTTACTCACTGGCCTGCTAACCACAAGGTCAGCAGTTTGAAGCCAGCAGCCGCTGTGTGGGAGGAGGACAGGGCATTCTACTCCTGTAGAGTGACTCCTTGGCAACCACAGGGGCAGTTAGACCCTGTCCTATCGGGTGGCTGTGCATCAACGTCAACTCGATGGCAGTGAGCTTGGGTTCTTTCAAGTTTGAGAAAAACAGGGAGACATCTCCGCCCATGAGGAATTAAATTCAAACCTACACACTGCAGAAAGGGGTGCTTGGTCCCCAACTTCAGGACCTTGCGGCATTTTTACCCAATGGCAAAAATGGGGTAAGCGTTTTTGCAAGTAAACCACCCCCTTGTGGTTTAGTCTCTCGTGCACTCTTCTGTTTGCAAACACTACGTCTCTGGTTTAGCAATCGAGGACCCCTCGTGGTGCGGTGGGCTGAAGTGCTGGGCTGCTAACCACAACGTCAGCAGTTCAAACCCAGCAGCCTCTCAGAAGAAGAAAGATGAAGCTGGGCCTACTGCTCCTGTAGAGATTGACAGACTGAGCGACTCTGCAGGGGCACTGCAAGTCAGGCTGGACTCGCGGCGGTGGGTTTGCATCAAGCGGCTACTTTTCTTCTTAAATTATTGGTTGCTTTTCACATGCGGGAAAAAAATAAATAAATTCCTAGGCATTCTGCCCTAACTTTTGTTGTTTTGAACTGAGAGAGAAGGAAATTGTAGCTGATCTCACGCTTGTGTTCCATAGCACATCTTTGCCCCGATGTACAGGACCACGCTGGCGCTGTTAGATGTGCCTGCACCTCACATGTGTCATATGCAAAAGACCTGTGTTCTGCTTAGAAGTACTAGACAGGCTGGTCAGCCTCAGAAGGTGGCAGCGGGGGCTCTAAGCTGTCTGGCGGACCCCAGGGTTCACGCACACACAGCCTGCCTGAGGGTCTGAGTCTCTCACTCTGATGCCGTAGCAGGTGAGAGCCGCCATGTCTTCTGGAGGCAGGGACATGTTCGGGCTCAGAGCAGACCATTTGTGGAGTGCACAGTATACACCTGTGCTGGCTTGTGACCCAGGACCTGCCTGACTTCCTCTCCTGAGGTTCAGGCACACCTGTGAGAGGGCAGACACCTGCCTTTGCCAGGTGAGCGCGTAACTACCAAAGTCAGCCAGGCATTGGATGGAAATGCAGAGGACGTTTGGTGACTTCAGGTCCCTGTGGTGGAAACAGAAGACGGACAGTTGGTCCAGGGAGGCCCTTCTCACGGGCGTGAATGGCTATCACTGTCACTGGGCATGGGGCCGTGACTCTTCCAGCCCTTTGATCTGGGGCCCCCATAATCCCCTCACTCAGCTCCCAGATGCTCTAACTTGTCCCCCCACCAAGGGGGAGCCGAAGCCTCTGGGTGACCTCTCACCCTGGGGACCTGGGCTCCTGGCACGGTGGTTAGGCGGGTGGAGCAGCTGGGGTGGAGAGGGGCCTCCAGCAAGACTTCCTTCTGGGGGGACCTGGGCATAGCTGGGGTGCTGTTTTGAGGGAGCTGACAGCCTCAGGGTGCATTTTATGGGCTCCCAGCAGCTCCGTCCAAACTCGTGGGCATAAAGACAAATTGCAAAGCCCACCGTTTGTTCAGCCCCTGGGCTTCCAGAAGCCACGCCGGTGTGGTGAGGGTGGGGGTGCTGGTGAAGCTGCCTGCCCAGTTCCAATGCTTTCCTCAGGCAAGCACACACCATACCCCCATTTTTTTCCCCTTTTCTTTCCAACCGCCGTATGTACTAACAAGCTGCTGTTTGCAATATAATATGTTGTTGACATGACTGCTAACAGCCAGGGCCTGGTGTGACTGCACATGCCCCACCACGTGTTACTAGGTCAGTGGACTGTGGCTACCAGCATGCTGGCTCAACAGGGCCAGGACTCACTGTTTTGTGCTGACCTAACCGGGGTGATGGGCGCCGTCAGTGCGCTTGGCTGCTACTAAGGGCAAGGATGGCAGTTTGAGTCCACCCATAGGAGCCTCTCCAGAAAGGTCTGGCTGTCTCTGTGTCAGGTGCCAAGAGAGCACAGTTCTAGTCTGACATACTCTTGGGGCGGGACACGGTCACCCTGCATCAGGGCCATCTTGACAACCGCTGACTTGGTTTTCCAGCCCCCCCCCCCCCCCCCCCCCCCCCCCCCCCCCCCCCCCCGCCCCCCACTCAGGGGGGGCATTGCTTGCGTTACTCTGTCTCCCTTTTCATTGGTTGTATTTTCCTGTTTTGTTTTCTCTCTTTTCCCCTCTCCCCCCTCTCTGCTCTCGGGACGCTGCAGCCAAACGCAAGGCGTGGAAACTAAACCGTGTGGGTAGCCTGCGAAATATTTACAGCAGCAGCAGCGCTAACGCCGAAGGTAACGCCCGCGCCTCCATCGCATGCCCCGCTGTCTGCAGCCCCCTCCCCGTCTCTGTGCGTGTTCCTTCTCTTTCACCGTTCGTGTTCCTTTCAGCTTACTTAAAATGTGACCTTTCCCTTCCCTCGTAAGTGTCGCGATGTTTAAATTACTTCAGAGCCCTATTTGCTCCTCCCCCCCCCCTTTTCCCTATACATGTGGGCACTCAATGTAATATTTCCCAAGTTATTACAGTTTTTAAAAGTGTTAGTATCAGGTGTAATGATCTGTAGCCAAATACAATAGTGTGCCGTGACATTTAAGTAACCGTCTTAATTTGTTTTGTAGAAGCATACTCCATAATGCTCCGCGCGGCTCCCCTTCCGAAGGCAAGCGGGGCCGGGGCCATTTGCATGGGTTGCTATTGCTTGTAAATTCTCTATATTGTTGTGTTTCTAAAGGTCGGGCGGTGCCAAAGTTCACAAATTGACTTGCGGTGGTGCTGTGTGCCGAAGACAGCCACCACGGCTCTTGTATAATAACAGATGGAATTTTTTCCCCACCTTCATTTGAACAACACAATTATAAATTGCTTTTGCTTGCTTGCCTTTTTTTTT